TTGTAATCTTTCACGATCCAAACTTGCCGAGTATTGTTCTAAGAAACTATTTCAGAAAGTTGAATTTTTTTTTACAAAATTAAACAAAACTTCTTCTGCTAAACAAGAAGGAATGGAAACAGCAGTTGATCGCATTCACGAATTCTTGCAGTTGATCGCATGAAATTCTGCCACAGTAGCAATTTCCACTAAATCTAGAACCATACATGACGATTTCTTTAGTCCTAAGGCCATTGGAATTATGGATTAAACTTATTGATCGTTGAAAATGGTATCTGATGAATATTTGATTTGAGATAATAAAGTTACGCCAAAACTTACAAATAGTAAAAAATTTAACCAGTTTCTACAGAACATTTCCATGATGATATCTTTAGCTAAGCAAGGGTTTGTGCTGAATTTCCGTCCATAATCAGCGGATTTGTGATCAGATTTCAGACCATAAGATAATATAGTGACAGCACCAATTAAGATAAATTGCAATTCCGACAGGAATACGAATACAAGCTAGTATTTGCGAGGGAACTTTGATTTCCCTGCATTTCCATTTTGGGCCCTAAGCACTCGAGATAAAAGGTGTAGGCCCAAATTAATGGGTCGAAGATAACGTCACAATTTTGGAATGGGCTCGTCCACTCTGTTTGATGTGTTTATGTTGCACAAGTTCGAAACAGCCAATGAATAACTGGATATTTATAGGTAGCAAAATGAGTCCAATTAATTAATCCAGATCTGTCCACTTTGTTTGCTTTCCTTGACTATCTTTTTCAGATGAGTACCAGTGTTTAACTGATTTCACTAAGGTTCATATATATTCATAATGATTATTTAGACTTTTAAGACTTAATTACACTTTATCAAAAAATTAACACTAAAGACTTCTTATCGAGTACCCAAAGTCTGCCTTAATTTTTTTATATGAAAAATCGTACTTTAAGCGACATACATACAACTAATAGATAGTTACAAAACAGAAGAAGATGGCCCACCTCTTGATTTTTAAAAGTTTCATGTTCGTATATCATTTAAACATATTTTTGGACGGGAGATTATTTAAAATATTATTTGGAATAATTACTGTAACATTTTTATGATATGATATATGTGAGATAAAAAAATGATTGAAAAGATAAAAAGATATGTTGGAAATTATGTTTGTGATGCAAACAAATAATTTTTTACCATTATTTGACTATCCAAACATACTTATTGTGTTTTTTTTTAAGTAGTTAGTGTAGATGAACTCTTTTTCACACGTGTGTATCTCCCTAGGAGAAAGTCACTGAAGGCAGCCATATATAGTGGCAATTTAGTAAGAAACAAGGATTGAATCCAATACTACCAAGACTTCGGTGCTTGATAGCAACCACCAGACCAAAGGCTTTTGCTAACCGCTAAGTGCAAGGTGAAATATTGAGATGCTGGTTTACGCGATACTAGGACAGTGAGAGGAAAAAAAAGGGAATAACAAGTGAAGTGGTGTCATTATCTTATGTTATTTAAAGGCTAAATTACATATTGTTCCTAGGAATTCCCCCGCCCTGTTGCCCACTAATTCCCCGCTCTCATCCTGCTCCACGCTCCTTCCACCCCACCCCATCTTTCATAGCGAGGTTAATAAAAATTTGTCATATAATTTCACTATAATCAAATTTTAGCAAATAATCAAATACAGAAGTATTAACACATCACCAAGTTATTATTCATTGTAATTTTACAATTAAAACCCATAAAAATAATCAAGCAAAAGTTATTTGAATGCAATCCAACAAGATAAACAAATACAACTAAAATAGTCAAGTTTTCACTTTTGACACAAGTATAATCACTAAGTCATTATTTTTTTGAGAAAAAATGTTATTGTGTTAAGTGTAATTAGGAATTTAGTATAAATGTACTAGTAAATTTAGTATAACTAATTAACAATTTTCATTAGTAGACATGTATAATTATTAGTATAATTGATAATATCAATTATATTACATATACTAATATATATTATATAATACATATAACTAATATTATTATTATTATAAGTTTGTAACTTATTACATTAAATATTATATATAATTATATACATATATATTAATTTTTGTTAACAGGTGACGGACCCCTGTCCTCTGCCCTGTTTTCACACGGGGAAAAATTTCTCTCCTGCCCCGTCCCATTAGCCTCCCGCAAGCACCCGCCCCAATTGTCATCCGTAATTGTTCCCTATAATTAGGCATCAATAGCAAATCACTTTCTATATTCACCAATCTACAAGTTGCCTTCTTATGACTGTTAATCATATGTATGTTACCAGCAAACAATATAATTATATCCCTCATTGTGAAAAGTTGTCTTATAAGCCTTTTCATTTTTCTTCCTTTTCTTCTTCTTTTCTTTATTATGTTTGGATCTTGTTACTCCTTCGAATTTTTTAATGATATATAATTTTTGACAATAATATGCTGAATATTTCTTTTTATGACTAAATATTTAGCGTTGTTTTCTTATAAAAATATTTAATTATCCTAAATCATTAGCAAAAATTAAAAGTAGTCTATCTTTATCAAAGATAATTAAATTAAGTTATATATTTATCAAAACTTTCTTATTAAGATTAAAAAATAGAGATACATATTTACTATACATATTGTTTTTTTTTTCTTGGTTATTCTTATTAAGAATTTTTTAAGGCTTAATCTATATATAATTATTTCATTATGTAAAGTATTAGATTATCATATGTTATTTTAAGAAACTAAGCGCGGTTCATCTTTGATAAAAATATTTTATTCTTTTGTTTAACAACATTTGATATATCATAACATTTAAATAATAAGAATGGCTCATATAAATAGAAAATACTTAGATTTTATAATAAAATATATTTATTTTAATTTATAATAATAACTTATGAAATTAAATATATTTTGTAAGAAATTATATATATTTATCCATAAAATAAAAGTTTTCAACAAATTATTATCAAAATTTATATGCAGCAATAGAAACGCAGGATGTAGAAAAAGAAATTTAAACATAATTGTAAAAAATTAGAAGAAGAAGAAAGAGAAAACGAAGGGGTTGTCTCCTCACCTACATGACCTCCACTACAAAATACAAATTGCAGCCAGCAAAAAAGCAACAGCAACAGCAATACCCACAGACAAAAGCCAAAGGCCATGACCCTGGTTTTTCTCCATCAAATAATAATGGGTAAAAAACAAAAAAGTCCATTGTATTAAATTTAATATACAGAAAACCTCACATAGTTTCAAAATGTATAAAATGATACATTATATTTCGAAATAAATTATAAAGGTGACGGAATCTGTTAAAATTAATGAAAACATTTACAAATATATCTATTATACTCCTTAACTCCCAACTCTCTCTCTCTATAGAATGAAAACAAATGATTTTGTTGAACTGTCTTTTACTTAATTATATTAGGATATTTTTGTTATTTCGTCTGTTCCTGTTAAGTTTAACGAATTCCGTAATCTTTATAATTTTGTTCAAAGTATAAGGTATCATTTTGTACGTTTTAAAACTACAAAGAGTTTTTCTATATATTAAATTTATCACATAAAACTTTTTTTTTTTTAGCCAATAATAATACTAAAACAAAATGGGATCCAAAAAATCAAAAGAGTGGACCAAAGGAGGCCTGATTTATGGGAGCCTTGGAGGGTCTATTGGAAAGACCAAGGCGCACATTTTCCAACAAAAGCTCCAACGCTGCACAACTGCCAAAGCTGACAAATTTACTACTACATACTGATATTGATAGAGTACCATGCAGTGATGCTGCATGGGACTAAACTCGAACGGCCTTGGCTCATCGCCAACTTTGTTTGGATTGTGATATTTTACAAACAAAAAAAAAATTATGTTTTTCGTAAGTATAATTTTTAATTATTTTTTTATCTCATATTTATCAAATTATTACAGTATATTTTTTTCAAAAACTCCTAAAAATAGTAATCCAAATGACTTGAATTTACCCAAGCAAGAACTATCTAAATGGAAATTTCTGGCCGAGAAAACTTTTAAGAGATAAAAGATTTTCTTGTACTTTTGAAGAATATCTCCTATTTAACACATTGCTGAACCATCTTTTATTGGTTACACACGTTATATTTCAAAAAGTTAATACAATGTTTTTTTTTGGTACAAAAGTTCGAAAATTTCCCAAAAAAAATGCAATCAAATGGACCCGTGAAATAAAGAAAATGGATCTTTGGCCATGAAATATTGCATCTTACACGAGTTACGCCAATTTATAAGTTGCTAAGGCAAGGGAATTAAGATGGAAGGGACAAAACGGTTGCGTAAGCAAAGCAAGAAAGAATTTTCTCTCTTTATGTCTCCTTCTTTGGAAGTTTAGGAAAAAAAAACAAATATTTTTCTTTTGTTTGCATCACAAATATAATTTTCAACACACTTTTTTATCTTTTTATCTTACATATATTACGTTACAAATAAATGCCACATTATTTATTCTAAATAATATTTCAAATAATTTCTTATCCAAGGTAGGTAAAGCTCTATAACTTAAAAATTATGGATTCCAATCTCCTCTTCTCACTTCTGGCTTCTAAATGACGCATATGTTTGGCTGATCTAATTGACTTGGGACAGGCTGAAAAAAAAAAACAGATTTGGATAAAATTGTTATACTAAAATCGTCTAAACACAAAACTCAAAAAATGTATATCCAATCAATGATACTAAAAACTTTTCCTGGAGTATTAAAAAGAAAAAATTCGTGATACTAATGAAGTTTATATATATATATATATATATATATATATATATAGATGTACTGTATGTACATTCCATGGCAGAGTTCCAGACTAGATTCTACACATTTTTGTCATTTGATTTAACTTTGGCTAGTTCGGCAAGTAATTAAACGGGAATGAGTGAATGAATCAATAATAAATCAATGTAGATTAGCATTTGCACAGATATCAAGGCAATGCCGCCGTAGTGTGTGTATCTACTGTGCCATATTCCTTTCTCTCACTTTTGCTCCTTTTTTGTCTCATAGTTTCTGCATTTCTTGCTCACATCACCTCTCTGTTACACAACAAACTCCTCTGTTCTCAGACCATAAAAAAGGTTGAAACTGAAATTCGTGGATGGATTGATTATGCAGATTGAACCCATCATCTACTCCTTTTATTTCCTAGTCTGTTCAGCTTTCATTTTTATTGCTTAAAAAGAACATTTTCTCAGTCTCAAGTCTTTTGATTCTTTCATGAAATAACCGAGAGTTTGGGGTCCTTTTTTCAGTGTGAAACTGGAATGTTACTTTCACAAAACCAAAAAGCTCAGAACTTTGGAGTCATTTTCAAGTGGGCTTTTTCTTATTTATCAAAAGAAAGGCTTTTTTAAGTGGATTTTGGTTTCTTGGAAGACATGCTGCTCCAGCCTCCAGGCTTCTCAAAAGGGTTGCTTTGTTTTGTGCTGCATTTGCTCTTCTGAAGTTTGAGGCCAAAATTTGAGTGCAAGAAGGTACTGCAGAGGTTTGATTTCTTGGTTCTTAGCTCATTTCCTTTTCTGGGTTCTAATTTGTTTTGTGAAATTTTGGTTGGCAAGTGGAGTTTGTTTATATGAATGAAATGTCATTAGTTACTGAAATAGGATTGGTTTATAGGCTCTGAGAGAAATGTGCTATGATTATGCTGAAGAAAAGCCAAAAATGTTGGTTTCTTTGATAAAGTGGTATGCTTGATTTGATGGTAAAAGAGAGATGGGTGTAACAAGCTCAAAAGAGGGGAGGAGTGAAGCTTTAAGACTATGCAAAGAAAGGACAAGATTTATCAAACGAGCTATTGAATCAAGATATGCTTTAGCAGCTGCTCATGTTGCTTATGTTGAATCATTAAGAAATATTGGGAATGCTCTTAGGAGATATGCTGAGGCTGAAGCACTTATAGAGTCCTCTATACCTACTTCAGCCACTGAACTGGAAAAAACCCCTTCACATTCTTCGTATCTGTCGCCCTCGCCATCTCACATTGGGGGTGTTTCAGGTTCTCCAGTGCTTAATGGGAGCCCCCTTTCACCACCCAATGCTAGGATGAGTTATATGATGTCAGGTGGGACTAGTGCTGTGACTGTTAGGATGATTCCAAATTTACCAAGGAATATGTATGTGGGTGATGATGAGTACGTGACGCCTCCACCACCACCGCCTCCACCTCCACCTCCACCTCCTGAATCAGGATCTTCTTGGGACTTTTTTTATCCAATTGATGATTCTGAGAGCTTTAGATTTGTTGGGGATAACAATGTGCCTCTGGATTTCGATGATGTGAAAATGCATGGCGTTGTTGGGGAAAAACATGCGGGTTTTAATAGCAACAATGAAATGGATGAAGTGTTCGTGACACCAAAATCAAAGGTGCAGAGCAATAGCAAGTTGGTTGTGTACAATGGGAACTCATCTATACCTCAAAGGACTCAAAGTGGTCCTCAGCCAGTAGTTGATAGTGAAGTTAAGGATATGAACATAGAACCAAAAAGGAATGGCTCTGTTGGAACATCAGTGGGCAAAACAGGTTCTGAGCAGTCAATCTCCAGGAGAGATAAGTCTGCAGTGGGGAAGGACATGTGCACTGACAGAGAGGATCCTTCAGAGTTCATTACTCACAGGGCTAAAGATTTTCTGCCTAGTATAAAAGACATTGAGCACTGGTTTTCCAAAGCATCTGAATCAGGGAAAGGAATTTCTAGGATGCTTGAGGCAAATAAAATCCAAGTTGGATATGCTGAAGCTAAAGGTAACTATTTGTTGGTGATATTGACTTGCTTATTAACTACTTTTTAGTAATGTAACATTTGGATTATTGCATGTGCCTCTTCTTATGGCAAATTTTCTGGTTGCAAATGCTGAGCTTATATCATTCTTGTAGGAAAAGCACCAGTTGCAGTTTATTTGGCTTCTTTCAAAACAGCTTGCTGCCAAGGAAAAAATGCAAACGTATCTGATGGTGAGTTTTATTTACTTTTTCTTTTTTCTAACAAAACATTGTTAATATCAATGATGTTATGGAATTTCATTTGTAATTTTCCACTTAGCAAAGTTTAGACATTGAGGAGGTTCTAATTAAATAAGGTCGTGTGTTGTTTGAGATTGGTCGTCATCACTTTTAAGTATAGATTCTTGAATGCATACTGTTTGTTTATCTGTGCTCCATCCCCAGCCATTCTGGCAATGTGATTGTTCCTTTGGACTTGGAGATATGATAAACTAAGGTTTGGTATCTAGTTCAGCAAGAATTCCTTAGATTTATATAAATTGCAACAGTGTTGGAGCTTTTCTTCATCGATGAGTTCAAGTTTGTAGATTTTAAGGTAATGATGACAAAGGAGAATGTTTCTTCACAAACATGTGTGATTGACCATGCTCTTTTTATTTTTTTTAAAAAACTTCTTATACTTGAGCAGATCCAGAGCAGCACGCAACAAAGGTTATTACATGGAAGCGGACAACATCTTCAAGGTCCTCTTCTTCAAGAACTCCTCTTACTAAAGATGACAATGACGGTAGTAGTAGTGACTTCATGGAGGAGTTCTGCATGGCTGCTGGAAGTCATTCTTCTACCTTGGATAGACTCTATGCATGGGAGAGGAAGTTATATGATGAAGTCAAGGTACATCTTTTGTGTTGCTTTTGTCCGTCTCTGTTGAAAAATTCTCTTGTTATGTTAAATCCTGTAAGTTCTCAAGGTTTTTCCCTGTCAACAAGTTAATGATAATTCTTGTTTTATAGACTCGTTAGGTTACCAAGTTGGTTCGTGTACTGAAGTTCAAAGTCTGTTGCATGACATGGCTTTAAATGGCATATTGCGCTTGCTGATTCAGAATGAAAATTGGTGTAGATGAGCATACATTGTTTTCTGTCTTTTGCTACACTTCTTTGGCTCTAATTAAGTTAATTCCCTTATTTTCCTTGCGAACTTCTTTGATGCTTAAAGCTCCTGCATCTTCAACTATTCATATAACTTGTACTTTGATCTTTTAATTCATATTATATCAGTTTTCCTTTGATATGTCATTTGCATCAAAATATGAAGGTATGTACATACGTTCTTCTAACTTCTTTTGGTGGTACATCTAAGCAACTTATCTAGGATGAAATCTTCAGATAGAAGGCAGCAGGTGTGGGAAAAAGCAAAATAATAGTGACAAAAGAAAAGCACAAACTCAAAAGATAGTACAGTCAACTTTAATGGACTTTTCTGTTTGTTCATCATTAGGTGTTGCTTTCCCATTCCCTTAATTGTTGAATTATCAAAATTATTCCCTGCCAAAGCCTAAAGTTGTCCCTTTCTCTTCAGCCTCCCTTAAGTAAGAGATTAATAGCGTTTAGACACTGATAGCATTTTGGAGAATGGGGCTTGTCCTTTGATGTCAATGGAGTGTCGTACCATTATTTTTCCATGATGGTATAATCGAAGATTGAGACACCTCTGAGAAGTACAGTTATATGCAAATTTTATTGACTAAACAACAGAAATGTAGTCCTCAGATGTTCTTTGGATGTTTGGGTGTCTTTGGTTCTTCATGCATGCATGCATACATACATACATACATACATATCTGTAAAGTTTTTTCTAGTGTGTTCTTTTCCTCATTTTCAGGATCGCGAAAGTGCAGTGTCAATATAAACTAATTGAACCAAAAACATTTCTCGTTTAAAAGAAAAATTAGTATAGTCACTATGAACTGAAGCCAGAGCATTATATGGTTGATTAATATTTGACAAATCGCTGAGGTTCTTCCTCTAACTTTTAGGGTCAGCGAATAATATTTTAAATTTAATTGGGCAACAATATATACTCGATCTGTTTTATTTGGAGTGTCATTTCTCTTATAGAGATTAACATTCAATTTTTGCAGGTTCAGCATATAAAACTCAGTGCTATATCCTAAAGCATCATCCAAGACTCTTCTGTCTTCTTCTATTGCACAAATCAAACATTTTGAAATTCCACCAATAACCAATAATTATTTCTTCTTAGTTAATTTCTTATTTACACTATCAAACATCTGATAATTGATTTACCCTACATTTAACTAATTTAAAGATCATGTGACACTCTTTTGAACAAGATGATCTGTCAGTTTAACCAGTGGATCACCCTATGATCAGAGATTTGAGTAAACTAATCTAATTCAATTGGGTTTAAACATGACTGCAGGTTGGTATGGAGTAATTTCACTATGTGAAAATGATTTTAAGTGTCCTATGGTATTATGCGAAGGATGGATTCACTTGCATGTGGTATAACATCTGAATTTCAACAAAGTTTTTGCTTTGGATGAATGATATTAGCAGCAGATTGCAACATAGATTCTTAGATTTCATTTTCAAATTGGAGCATTCTGTCCTATATATGTGTTTTGAACCTCACTTCTTTTTCAATTTACCTTTGTAGGCCAGTGAATCTATCCAGAAGGAGTATGACCGAAAGTGCAACCAGCTCAGGCACCAATCTGCAAAGGATCTTAGTGCCCAAGTAATTGACAAAACCAGAGCTGTGGTAAAACATTTGCATTCACGAATTTCAGTTGCCCTTCATGCTGTTGATTCAATCTCAAAGCGGATTGAGAGACTGAGGGATGATGAATTGTTGCCCCAACTTTTGGAACTTATTCAAGGGTGAGATTCCTTCTGCATTACCTTTGCTTTTAAATGTATAAAGTTTGTACTTTGGTGGTTTTCAAGATCCTTTCGGTTGGTACATAAATCACGAGTACCAGCTCTCCAGTTTTTTGAAGACTGGAACTAAATTTAGTTGGTTTAGGACTCTCATAGTTTGAATTTTGTCATTGGTGTTCCCTAGCAGATTAATCTGGATGTGGAAATGGATGCTTGAGTGTCATTATTCACAGTATATAACCATCTCGTTAGCATACCATTCAAAGACCTCGGGAGGGACTGCCCAAGGAGATGCGCACAAGGATATCATGTTGCAGCTGCTGCATGAAGTAGAATGTTTTGGCTTGAGTTTTGCTGATTGGATCAACAGTCTCACATCATATGTAGAAGCTCTAAACAGTTGGCTACAGAACTGCATCTTGCAGCCTCAAGAACGATACAAGGGCAGAAGAGTATTTTCTCCTCGTCCAGTTTTACCACCACCAATATTCGCTCTCTGTCGTGAGTTGTCTGCCGGCATCAAATGTTTGCCATCACAAGAACTTAGTGATGCAATCAGAGTCTTTTTATCTGATCTTCGCCAGTCAATTGGACATCAAGCTGATGAACCACCCAAGAAAGAAAACACGCCCGAAGCTGGCAATAATGGAGAATTGGAGTGCAACAATGAAGAGAAAATTGATGACAGGTCTGCAAATTTGAATAGCTTACAAACAAGTTTGGCAAAGGTATTGGACAGTCTAACCAAGTTTTCTGAGGCTTCACAGAAAATGTACGAAGATGTTAAGCAGAAAAGTTTGACAGCTATAAATGCATATTACAATTACAGACCACCACCAAGGTCACATACCATATGAGGTATATTTTGTGTTTGATTGTAACCAACAGCTTGGTGAGAATAGGAACTCTAATGAACAGGAGGATGGAATTCTTATCTTTTACATAGCTTAACTGGATGGGTAAAAGGGGACTTGTGTTTCAAGGCATTGTGCAGATCCTTGTATTTTTGTTCTTATCTAAATGTTTTCCTGTTCTGATTTCTTTCTTGGTGATTAGTTTGTGGACTTAAATCTTGGTCTGCTTGCATTCAGCTGGATGCATAAGCTACGATACCAGGGCAAAGGTTTCTGGTGTTTGGCAACTAGGTGGTGGCAATTAAGGAGCCTTGATCAGCATAACTGCGTTGTAACAACAATATCCCAAAAGAGAAGCAGTTGAACCAACAGTGTTCATGTCGTATGTAGTTTGCATTTGATAGAAAGTTTACTGAAGTGACATATGAACCCCAACATGGCACACCGTCAAAATGGCATTTCATCTTTATTTGGCTTCCTCAGTTATACAGAAGAAAAAGTGGAGGAATCAAATGAGACTAATACTTGCTGTTGATGGTATTGTAAATTATTTCATCTCATTCATAATCAGTCATGTGCTGGCAAACGCGTCATCTGATAAGATTAAATTGTCTATGGGAACCTAAATGAAGTCATCAAGTTTCTCTTGTCCAGAGAGCCAAATTAAATAGATCAGAAGCTGTCGCATCTGGATTTCCTTCAAAAGAACAAACACTTTCAGAGACAGCAGATCCTTTCAAATTGGTGACATCAAGAATATTTCTTGTATAGGAGATTCACGTTTAGATATTCTTTGTATACGCAAGTTACAATTATCTATCAAAGGATCAGCATTTCTGCTGAAGTATCAATCTGCTATCTTTACGAAATTCGAAATTTTGAGAAAGTAAGATGAGGAAATATAGCGGTAACCACTGTTCATATTTTTATTCCTCGAAGTAACAACAAAACTATAACTCCGACTTCTTCCTTTCCAGTGCAGATCAAGAACAGGGGAAAGTAAAAAGGACCCAGCTTTCTCTCTGGAACTAGAAGCCAACATGTTGAGTATACTGTGAATAAGCTTCGCCTGCAGTCTGCAATCCAATCGGAGCCCTGATGACATAATCTGGAAGATCAAAGGCGTCAACAAGTTCCCTTGCAATATTCCTAACTTGGAAACTCAGGTACTCTGTCAACTTGTGAATGGCCTGCACAAATATGGCATCCTATAAACATGAGTATAAGTACTATCAAATCAGGAACTGCAGCGGATTCTGGACAGTACAAATGTCATTATGTGACATCAGTCAGAATGAGTAACATACAAAGACACTAGAACAGGGTCTCTGAAAAGATAGCTTGATAGATATGAATTCTTCTCTGATGGACAAATAATCATCGTGAAAGCACGTAATTTTCTTAATCATGGTTATCATCTGAATCAGCTTTAATACCTTAGCTTTGTTTGGGGCCACATAGTCCACATTGCGATAAGTCCCTATATCATTCCAAATTCTATCTAAAGCGTAAAGATCACAAACAAGCTTCAGAGCACTTCGGGAACCTTCATCAGGACAGCTGAAGCAAAAAGCAGCCAGAGTCAAACTCAATTATTAAGAGGAAAAGGGAAGAACTGAGGGCTAGAAATATAGGTACCTTCGCACTGCTTCAATGAATCTTTCAAGAATGACAGATTCAATATGGGACTCAGCAAGCGTCAAAAGGTGATTCAAACATCTATTCCAAGCACCAAACCCTCCAAGAGTTTTGGAGTGTTTCTGAAGTCGGGCAGCAACACTTTGAAGCAATCGAGATGTACGATACTGCACAAAAAATGTTACATCAACTACAAGGTATAGGCATTCTATCCATTTCCTGTTTTACATCAGATAATCAAACTCACTCTGAAGGCATCCAACTGGAATTTTGGATCCCGCAGATGGTCTTCACCTTCCCATCTGGAAGTTACTGGGTTAGGCTGAGAAAGATAAGTGTTCATGGACTCTTTCAAATAGTTCCATGTGACGGCAAGTGATCCCCCCCGGAACTTCTGTTGATACTGCTTCAATAAGTCAATCGCCACCTGAATTACATTATAAATTTGAATAAACAATTCCACTAGATATTAATCACCATCTAAGAGGAGTCTTTCAGGATAGTTCAATCATAAATTTTGCTGAGGAAAAAGCAGAATCTTAGTCATCAAAAAGCAACAAATTAGCAGAACAAGTTACCTACCAATCCACTGAGATGTGCTTCACCATCTATAAACAAGAAGGGGTGGATATATAAGGTAGGAGTAATTTAAAAGCCTCAAATAAAAAACACTGTACCACCTAATCCTGCATAATATGATCTACTAGCACAGGCCTGACCATCTTTCAAGCGGATGTGATGAACTGTGAGAGTGAGACTTAAGAATGTCATGTTTCAACACAATTTAGCACCTCAACTTACTAAAGCCCGCCCTCCAACCAACTATTGCAGCAAGATTCCTCAAAGAGTCATGATTTAATCTACTACAATGCAGAAGGTCCTTATAAGCATATAGATGTCTCAGTGTCCATGAGAATCAGAGTGCATATATCACAAGAGAGCATTATAAAAATAGATTGAGATCCAGATAAAACCTGCTGAAGAAGAACGGTGTTATCCCCTTCAAATGTCTGGAATATATCATGATCATTTCTCAAGCTACCAAACCTATTTACGGCAGCATAACCATGGCCTCCACAAGCTTCTCTACATATGTTCAACGACTTTGCAGTATAAGAGGTAACATAGGCCTTGAGTCCAGCAGAGAGTGCATGGACATCCCCAACCGACTCTTCATCATGTGTCTTCTTCATTTCACAATATTTATCCACCAAGTGAAGTGTGGCAAAATGGAATGCATAAGTTGAAGCCAGCATTGGCATTAGCTTGTGCTGATGAGACTGGTAATCAAGTATAGTAATCTCAGGTTGCTTGGGAGGACCAAACTGCTGGCGCAGTAGAGAATACCTTATAGCAATTGTGGCAGCAATCTTAAGGACACCGCTTGAAGAATATGCAAGGACGACTCTTCCTCCTACAAGTTCCCCTAATGTAGCTCCAAATCTTTTACTGATACTAGGCAGGCTGCTGGTGTATTTCCCATCCCGTGAGACATCTCCAAAACGATTAAGAAGATTATCTCGTGGAATCCTCACTGAACAGAATCTTAGTGCTCCATTATCTACTCCATTGAGGCCAACTTTATGGCCACAATCATGTATTTCAACCCCAGGCAGCGGCTTATGGGTCCGGAGATCCCTAATTGGAACAATAAAGGCATGAACACCCATATCAGAAGTACCTTTTGTATCATGAGTTGGTAACATCAGCTTGGCAAAAACTGAGGCAAACTTTCCATGGACTGCAGCATTCCCAATCCACCACTTGATAGCTCCATCATTTGGTGTGTTGATAATGAATTCATCTGTTAGTGGATCAAATGTTGCAACAGTCTGAAGGCCTTGAACATTTGATCCTTTTCAAAATAACCGAATGAGAGAGGATCAGAAAAAAAAGCACTCTGACAAATTATTTGAGAAAAGGTAATTAAAACTGAAGCAGTTGGAATATGGATTATGACCAATTAGAGTACTACTTAAAAAATTAATCCTGGAAAGAAATATCAGCATAACAACTTTCTTTCAATTGGCTTCCCAAAACAGGAAAGTGCATCTTCTTTGCATAAGTTAAACAAACTTGTGAAACCTAGTATTTATGTAAGAGAACAACATGATCAAACGATACTGTTTTAGAAATTCTGTAGCATGCAGTTGCACTTGCACTACAGAAGGGAAAATGAAACGGGATTGATGTCTGCTTAAATATTAACAGAAAATACAGCAATCATAACCTCATCATTCAAAACAAATTGGTTGGAACGTGCTTTAAAAAAAAATTACAAGTAACAATGCTATAGTAGTATTGATCAGGTGGAAGAGCATACCATGGTGAAGCTCTGTCATTGCAAAACACCCAGGGTACTCCATGTTGTCTATACCATCAAAGTATTTATCCCTATGCTTTTTAGTTCCCAAGTTGAGAATAGACCCACCCCAGAGACTGCAAATTACATAAAAAGCATTGGCTTTTGTAACATTGTTTGAGTGAAAAAAACTGCTTAAAAGGCCAAGATGTTCATATTGGTTTGAAGCAAGAAGCAAGCCAAGCAGACAGGAAAAATATCGATAATACAAGAAGAAAGCAACAAAGGCAGACAGGAAATATCAATAATACAAGCAGAAAGAAATAAAGGCAGAAGCAACTGACGCAATTAGCTGGAAGTTTTTTCAATTTCCATCAAGTTTAATTTCCAGTGAAAATGCTATAAGTCTAGATCTCTAATACACATCATCTATCCACTGATGTGACAATGTAAAGATTCTATTCAACATTAATTAATTCAGAACCAAATATTAAATCAATCAGCTAGTATTCAGGACTGCAACAGATCAGGTACTTGCACAATTTTCACAACCATAGCTGAACTTATATGTACACCCTGCAGTCCTAATTTGACTAAACCCTATCCTTTAGTTATTGGCCAGAATTCTCCAATAGAACTAAGAGGCTAGTCCAATACCTTATTGTAGAATGTAGATAGAAAGACAAAAAATCAAAAGCTAGTTAACTCACCCCATCTCTGGTACAATTGATCATTGTTCAACCTAGTGCTCTAAAGGGGGGAAGAGAAGGAAAAGACAGCAAGAAATGCAGTCATCAAATTAAAGGCAAAACTGATAGTCAAATATATTATACTCCATATATGCATTACCTCAACTCAATTAAACATTCTCAGCCCAATTACATCCAGAGACATACATTGGCATACTGCAGAACATAACAGTTCTGTTTAATCACAAACTAGGTTGTGTATATTGTCCTCTGCAATCCCTTTTCTAGAAATATCACACAAAGGCTTGCCCTGTCCATGTTATAAGACGTGCACCCATCATCCAAATCCCAAAATTAGATATGATGATAAATCTTATTTCACCTAATCCACTGCAATGACATAATCAATCTAACTCATGTTAACTTGTTACCAGTTCAAATTATCCAAGTAGGACTAGTCAGAGACTATTTCACATTCTAACCAAAGTTCCCTCATTCATCGCGTTCTTTCCCTCTTGTACTACCAGATAATTCCATTATTTTCAGTCCATACATATA